CAGAGAGTTCAAGTTAGAAACACAGAATGGAAGAACAAGGTCAGCATTGAGAGAACTGAAGAGCAGATTCAAGCCTTAAGTTGCAATACTCAAGGATTCTGTGGGCAAAATACTGAACTAGACAGCATCAAAAGAAGATGGAATGAATTCACAGTCACCATACCACAAACAACTGGTCTACACTAAACTATTTCAAATAGCAGCACATGATCAAGAACTTCTTCATGGTAATGAAGAAGTTCAAGCTACACTGAAGACATTGGGGGAAAAAATAAGTCCCTGAGAATTGATGAGTACCATGTTTCAACAAACAGGCTGCCCTGGATGTGCTCACCAATCTATGCCAAGAAATGTGGAAGATCTGGCCAGCTGACTAGAAGAGATCCACATTTGTGCCCAATCCAGAAAAAGCAATTAACAGAATGCAGAAATTATTTAATAATACATTCAAGGGTGTTTTTTGTTGTTTTGTTTTTTTTAAATAAACTAAAGCAGTATATTGACAGGGAACTGTAAGACTCAAGCTAGATTTTGCAAAGGGCTCTCATTCATGATGTGAAATGCATACTGAATGCAGAGAGTACTAGAAAGATGTTTACTTGGCTAAGCAGTCAGTCATCTGTGTGGATTACATTAAGTTACGACTAACACTCAAGAGAAAGAGAATTCTAGAGAACTTATTCATGCTCATTAGAAGCCTGTGCATAGGCCCAAAAGTAGTCATTCAATAGGACAAAATACCAAATGGTTAAAATCAGGAAAGACGTGCACTGGAGTTGTCTTTTCTCCCTATCTCTCAGTGCTGAGCAAGTAATTAAGAGAGTTGGAACTTGCACTACAATCCCAAAGGTGCTTAGTTCAAATCCAGCAGACGCTTCGCTGGAGGAAGGGCAAACTCCTCCTGTGCCAGTCAGATCTAATTCGATGGTACACCAAATTAAAAATAAATATAAATTTTAAAAAAAGTTGGGGCTGGGGTAGCTCTGCTGGCCTAGTGGCAAGAAGCTGTGCTGCAATCCCAAAGGCAGGTAGTTCGAATCCACCATATATTCTGCTGGAGGAGTGGCAATCTCCTCCTGTGCCAGTTGGATCCTATTTGACAGCACAGAGTATAAGTAAAATTTTTTTAAAATGTTGGGGCTAACTAAAGAAAACTGATGTCAGGATTGGAGGAAAATTCAACAACTTCCATTATACAGATTACAAACCCTCACTTGGGTAAAGTGAAATAGACTTGAAACACTTACTAACTGAAAATCAGAGCCTATATACCGCAACATAAAAAAACCCAACAAAACTTAAAAAGTTCTCACAGCTGGACCAGGAAGTAACATCATGATGGCATAGGCATTGTCAATGACTTTTACTTTAATTCAGTGTCAACTCCTATGATAGCAGCAGTCTATAAATCTAAAGAGGTGTTACTTGGGCAAATTTGTTGTCAAGAGCGTTCTTTACAATGCTATAGAGTAAGAATGTCCATTTATAGATTAGTGTGTCTTGATCAAAGCCATGGTGTCCGTGGTTTCATATGCCTAAGAATGAATTCCTCTGCCAGTGAATAAGCAGGCAAAAGAGCTGATGCTGGTGCAGGGTAAATATATCAGGGACTCCCCAAAGAACAAGTCTGTTGGAGAAGGTGCAACCACAGTGCTTCTGAAGACATGGACAGTGAAATTTTGTCACATGTACTTTAGGTACGTTGTCAGGAGCTGCCAGTCTTTGGAAAGGCCAGCAAAAGGAAGACCCTTAATGAGGCAAGTTAGTACATTAATTCCAACAGTGGCGTTGAATATGGCAGAGATTGTGATAATGGCATATAAGGATAAGGCAAGGTTTCGGTCTTTCACAGGGTCACTTTGAGTCATCCTTTACTGATGGTAGTCATCTTAACATAGCTAAACAAAAATACTTATTTTAGAAATTGGCATTCTTTCTCATTTCAGCCTCCCTCTGAAGAAATAAAAACAGGTGAAGATGAAGATGAAGAAGATAATGATGCTTTACTGAAGGAAAATGAAAGTAAGAATTTAATATTCTTGTCTAATTTTATGAAATTGGAACTTGGAGAAACTACTTCTCAGCTTAATTTACTATGCTTCTGCCTTAAGTATTAAAATTCTCAATACTAACTTGAATTACATTTTATGTAGAATTTATAGAGAATTATGGCATTTAAAGGGGACATGCACTTCAAAGTGACCAGCGTCATTAGGTGTAGAGGTACCATGGTTTCAGGGGAAAATGTCTTATATAAATGTTCGGTTTTATTATCTCCTACTGATCATGTATTGTGGTGATAAAATTTCACTGCAAACCCAAAGGCCTTGTTTCTAGCCACACAAAGCCACATGTACAGCTTCGGAAACCCATCGACGGTAAATGCATTGAGTTTTGACTTGATGGCATTGAGAAAGCTCATGATTCAACCCATAGTGAATGTAAATAAAGTGTCTTACATTAAAAGTAAAGCTTATTAAAGGTGATCAGGAACCCTAGTGGCATGCCTGTTAAGCACATGGCTCTCAACTGAAAGGTCTAAAGCAGCAGCTACTCCCCGGGAGCCATGGTAGTCTGTCCCCATAGGCAGTTCTTGTGTAAGGGCAATTCTCGTGTGCAGCGCAGGGCTGGTGTGAACTGGAGGCAGCAGTGGGCTCCTGGAAAGGGGACTAATCTCTGAGGGCTGCATTGTGCCAGTTTTGTTGTCTACTTTGAGATGCATGTTTGATAATTTACACTCACTATTCTACAGGTCCTGATGTTCGGCGAGATAAACCCGTAACTGGGGAGCAGATAGAAGTATTTGCCAACAAGTTGGGTGAACAGTGGAAAGTTCTGGCTCCCTACTTGGAAATGAAAGACTCTGAAATACAGCAGATTGAGGGTGACAGTGAAGACATGAAGCTGAGAGCTAAGCAGCTCCTAGTTGCCTGGCAAGATCAAGAGGGAATCCACGCAACACCAGAGAATCTCATTAGTGCATTAAATAAGTCTGGATTAAGTGACCTTGCAGAAAGTCTAACTAATGACAATGAGACAAATAGTTAGCTTATTTCTTTTTCTTTTCTTTTTTTTTTTTTTATTAAAACTGTGATAAGATTTTGTTACCAAGCAGCATTTGATAAGAGGTCCACTGGTTTTGGTAGACAATAAACATTTTTATAACAGTTGTACAGTTGGCTGGTACTCCAAGAACAGAACAATATTGGCTTTTGATAACTGACCAAGGATTCAGGAGGCAGGGTTGGGAAAATGGTCGAAATTCGTGACTACAAAGTCACAGAATACATTTTTGTTTCGTAAATTAATCTCAATAAGCAATATTTGGAAGACTGTTAATATACTAACTACTGTGTGCTGTTAAGTTATAAAGTTTAATTCATTATTCTGAAATCAATAAGACTTTCTGAAATTATGACTATTCTTATTTATACTTTAGAGGATCAACAAACTGATCCTCTTAAACCTGTTGCTATTGTTTTACTGGCATTTGTATTCTCTGTGGCCACTTGACACTGAAATGGCAGAGTTGAAGTGCAAGAAATAATATGGCCTACAAAACCTAAAACATTTACTGTGTGGCTTTCTAGGTTTATCAGCCTTAGAAAATTATTTAAACTCTTAAATCTTTAAAATAAGGGTGCTCACCTCAAAGACTACTGTGAAGTTTGCATAAGATAGGTGAAAGCACCCCATGAATTACAAAGTAATTTATAGTAATGGCAAAAGATGGTCCACTGCATTTTCCCGTTTCCAAATCAGGTCATCCTGCCTTGTTTCCAATCCAGAAGGCGGCCTACTGAGTACATATTAAACACTAAAAGCTCCTGCTCGGACTGGCTCAGCAGTGACGGCATAGCCCTGACACCAAAGGCTCAGTGTGAGCGGCATAGGAGATAAGGCACATTCAGCAGATTTCTAACCTGCTCTTCATTCTCCAAGACCATCCATGCAAGGCCAAATTCTGGAATAGCATTACTGTTTGACAATAACACTCATTTAAGTCTCTTAATTTCTACTTAAAATATGGCTTTGGGATAATGCTTTTGGGATCAAATAAAGTCACTTTTCATAAAGACAATTTCTAAATTGTTACATGCACACAAGATTTTTAGACTTTGCTCTAAGTCTGCCTCATCTAGTATCTACAGCATACTACAGATCCAAAAACTTGAATTCTAATTAAGTTCATGCCCTCAAAATTGTTCACATGAAGTGAGAACATGAACTTTAAAAAAAAACAAACCAACAAACCTTAAAAGCATCATAAACTATTAAAGAATCATTACCATTCTGGCAATCTCATCTTCTGCAATCAAATCTTCATCCCCTCCCCACAGTGAGGAGTATCGATAGACAATAGTTAAGGTTTAAGTGATGAAGCTATTCACAATTAGTTTCCTGAAATGCTTATTTTATCATCTACTGTTCTCAGGCTGTATCATGTTAACTTTGACAGGAAAATAGCTTTTATTCATTAGAAGTCAAATAGTTAATCAGTGGTATGCCCTCTATAGAGCATAACATAAAAAGAATAAGGGACTTCATAATTCCTGTAATTTTGCTTTCACACTAAAAATTGCAGGCAGTATGATGCTGTTCTCTAGCAATCGACCAAGCTCTTGGGTCAGAATGTATTCAAATGGAAGAACTGTACTGTATGGCCATATCTGGTTCTTCTGGTTATTTCCTATTTGAATTTAAAATCACTGCTTCAAGATTCAAAGTTAGAATGGAATTAGTGTTTGGGGATTAACAAGAAAAGTAAAAAAAAGCTGAGCCAAAGAGGGAATATAATGAGGGATATTAACAGTGCATTCAAAATCCAGAAATCGCCATTACTCTTACAAATCAGTACATCTTTTGGAATGGAATATAGTACAGTCAGGAAAAGATGGCAAAAGTCCCCATGAACAATTCACTGTAGAGTAAAACAAACCATCTGTGGAGAGGTGACAGTGTCAAACATGTCCGAATCTCTTTCAAGATTAGCGCTCAACACAAAACACTCTGAGGTCAAAAGCTGTTACTCCCCTCCTTCCTCCTTTTTTTATTAAAGATCCTCATTTTCTAAAAATATGCAAACAGAACCAACATTTTTTATGACTGACTGCTAGAAAACCACTGCAAAGTTAAATGTGCAAACCACAGTACATCAGAGACACAATAAATGTTTAAACAGATGTACTATTATTGATCACAATTTATTTTAAAGTCTTGAAAAGCCAGCAACAAAACAGACTCAAGTCAGCCAGTTGGGCTGGACAACACGTGATTGTGCCCATGTTTCTTTGGGGAGTGGACAGCACTGAGGTACACAACAGGAGTTAACACTTCTTTCCACCTTCCGGGCAAAATTGTTAGATAAGGCAAAGGATGGGATGCTACCGAATGGTGATCTGAACCATGCAAAAAAACAACAGTTGTGTGATAAACATCTGATAGCTGAGTCCTGGGCTGTGAAAGGCAGGGAGAAAAATTATCACAGAAGGAAATAGTTGAAAGGCATTTCACCTTGGACTTTAAAAATTATGCAAGAAATAAGCTTTTATAAAACATCTTCCTGCCACATTACAGAGGGCAGCACAGTCCAAAGATATTTTCTCTGTCATAATTTTTTTACATTGATAGAGTGGTTTGTAGGCTTCCTCCTACTCTTTTGTTCCACATGAGAAGAAACACATAAAACCACCTAATTATCTTCTTCTAAAGCTCTGGATTGTAGAAATGATCAACGAGTAACATTTCACACCTAAGCATAAATAGCTAAAATGTTTACTGTTCACTTTCCTCTTCCATTATTTCAACTCTGCGAGGCCCATAAAGCAGAACGTAAGCTATGTGCCAATCTCCACCGCCAGAAAGCCGCAGGATATCTTCTGGTGTGACAACGCTGACTTTATCATCATCAAACTTAATCCATTCATCTAAACAGCAAAAACAGGACAGGATTTGGTCAGAAACACTGCAAAAGTTGCTGAGGAATTTTACACAAAGTAGTGGTTTATCTGCTCTACCAAGAGTTCTTAGGTCCAAAGATAATCATTTCAGGTCTCTATGAAGTTAAAAAACATTTTCCATATATATTTGTGGTCTCTGGAATATACTTTGCATAACTCTGTGAACTGCGTGCAAAAGGAAAGAGGAGAATCTAACTACTTCTGTTACACTGGACAATAGCAAAGAGTTCTAAAAAAGGAAAACAAATTCCATTTCTTGCTTTTTGGAAAATAATTTTTAAAAGTTCTTATATTACTGTCATTTTAAATACTGAAAAGTACGGTCAGTTTAATTCCTCATATAGTAAATATTAAGAGTAAATTCTTACAAACGAGATCTTCAATAAGTAAGACTATAAAGGGATCCTGAGAAATGTTATTAAAACTACCATACTATACAATTTTTAAAAACCCAACAAAACTTTTATAAATTGTTTGGGGGTGGGAGGAGGCACCTTTACCTTGTTTCCTTTTTACCCATGACACATAATGGCCTGATGAACTAGATCTTCCCTGATGGGTCAGGACTGCTTGTAAGTCATAATAGCCACAGTTATTGGAGCCAATATCTAAAGACAACCAGAAATCTATTAATAATTTAAAGCATAGAGACATGTGCTTTCCCAACCTAGAACTACTGTAATTCAGCCTAGGAAATACTGGTTCTATTATTAGAATTCAGTTAAAAGCTACTGTCCAACCAAAGGTAAAGCTTAATTTGCAAAGATTCAGGTAATAAGCGCTCACTTATACTAACTACAAACAGTGAGTTTTTATACAAGCATACATACATCCTGTGATTGCAAATCAGTGATGGGCATTTTCTACCCACTGAAGGTCTGTAATGACCCTAGTCAGTCAACTCAGTTCCATTTCTCCAACTGCTTGTGAGCATGGCATCTGTCATCTCAGTGCCACATATTTATAAATAATTTTCACAATATTTCAGATGTTTTCATAATGCTATTTTGAACTTAACAGACCCGATAACTTTTACACACCCTAGAAATAGATAAATCTGTACAACTCGCTTTACTGTGCTTTTTATTTTAGTGGTCTGGAATTGAAATCTCTGAAACATACCAATATGTGAGCTACATTGTTGATAGGTGCATGACTCACAGCAACCCTCTGAACAACAGCTCTAAACCCTGTCTTGTCCTACACTATCCTCATCATCTGACTACACCGACATCACTGCTACAGCACTGTGTCAAGCCATCTGGATAAGGGTCTTCCTCTCTTGCTGACCCTTCCACCCTTCCAAGCATGATGTCCCTCCCCAAGAAACAGCCTCTCCTAGCATCATGTCCAAAGTCTATGAGATGAAGCTTCATCATATTCCAATAAACTTAGTTTTTGGGGCAAGTATGGTAAATGTGTGTGGCAAGACAGTCATTTTACTGTTAAGAAGAAAACAAACCAAATGAGAATTTCACTTACCATCAGCAAAAGAGAAGGGTTCATACTTCACTTCCTTCTCAGGACTACTTTTGTCACTCTGAAGGGGGATGGGGGAAAGACCATTTTAAATCACAATAATGGAAATAAAATTTCAATTTTCATTGATATTTACTGTATATAGTACAACTGTGCTAAGGAAAAACAAAGATGTTATAGCTCTTAAGTTATTAAAATGATATAACTACAATTCATATTATAAAACTCTTATCTGCTAAATCTCACTAGATACAAATGATCAACCATACCACAAAAGCTAGAACGTCCTTATGAACAAATTAAAATACTTGTGAATAATTAACAATAGAGCAAAAGGGGGAAATCTAGCTCTATTCTTTTATTAATGTACTATGAAGCTACCTACATAAATGGAGAGAATGATGACTCAAAATCAAGACAAGTAAAACTGATAGAATTTCTACTAAATAGACAAGATTTCACAAGGAATGAACTACAATTCTACATAATCTCTTTAAATATCTGAAAAGGTAAAAAACTATCAGTGCTAGTAAACAAGGTCAAAGTGGTTGTGGTGGTGGTGGTGGTGATTGCCGTCGAGTCGAGCATGACTCATAGCAACTCTATGAACAAAAGACCTAATGCCTTTCCATAACTATCGTCATTTCTCCTTCCTAGAGTTTCCAGAGGCATGTGGTTTAGAAAGTGAATGACACTGCTTCCAAACCTGTTTTTCAACTCGGAGGTTCCACCAAACACTGGCATTCTGGTATTTGATACTCCAATGGCACAAGGTCCAGAAACCTAGCAAGCCCAGGTTACTTCATACTGCACACTGACAAAAGAGTGATGTGCAAAGTGGAAGACTGTTCCTCTAGATAAAACAGCACTAGTTTCATTTAGCAGTGTCATCAAATCGAATATGACTGAGAGTAAGCTTTGCATAAAAGACTTGAACTTTGTTCTATAACATTTCTGTACATTTAGAGAGTTTGTACAGTTTCCAGAAGCATCTAGTTTAGGAAGTGGATGCACTCCTGCTTCCCAGCATAAATCAATCTGGAAGCTCATCCAAACACTGTACATAATGGATAACTATTACGGTATTTGACAAGACTATGGAACAGTGGGCAGCATCACAGCGAAACCAAGTTGTTCAGTTCAGCAAACAGACAAGAGGTCGCTTTGTCATTTAAGGAATATTCATTCGAAAATTAATAAATTTGGCATGAGGGCCACAGGCCCAAGCGATTTTAAAGCCAAGGACACCCGTTGTTGGAGAGAAAGAGCAGTAATACACATCAAACACAACCCCAAAAAACTTCCCTTACGTGACCAACACAACTGTCATCAAGATGCTAGCTAGCTAGCAGCCAAACTCAGAGTGGAGGCTCCGGGCCCTGGCCTGCAGTCCCATCCCCTCACACTAAGGGGATTTAAAAGCCACACATTTGAGCAGACCTCTACTCTTAGCCACAGGCTCAAGGACACCTGCTTTTTGTGGGGGGAAAGAGTAGTAATACACATCAAATACAACCTCCAAAAACTTCCCTTACATGACCAATGCGATTGTCATCAGGATGCTAGCTAGCAGCTAAACTCCCAAAGTGGAGGTTCCAGGCCCGGAGGTCAAAGTGGTACAGGAAACAACAACCAAAGACAATATGGCATCCTAGTGACATGCTCTGCCCAAAAGCACAACAGAGATTAAAAAGAATGAAATACACACCAATGATGACCCTACAGCTCATCATCAAATGCCAAGGGACGCAGAGCAAAGGCAATGGCCGTGATAGGAAATGGTGCTCCACACGGCCCCAGCTGTTCAGTGATGCACGCGGCAGCACAGATCAGCAGGGAGGAGCCAATGTCACAGAATCCCCCACTGGGACAGAGAGACCATGTGGACAGATATGGAGTGATACAGGCAGCAGAGTGGGGACAAGTACAGTAAAGCAGGGAAAAATATAAAAGTGTGGCATCACCTGATGGAAGGTTTAAGTGAGAAAAGGGGAAAAGAAGAACTCTTATCCAGGACAGTCTAATCCTCAGCTCTGACGAACCAGGCTGAGGCAGGGCCTGTAGGGGCAGCTTACTTTGGGGATTTCAGACTCCCACTTTGAATGAACATGGGTAGGAAGCAGTTAATTCTCTACACAGCCTGATGAACAATCAAAAGGTATTTTTTACTGCTTTTCGAAACACATTTTCCTGGTGACCAAGGAAAAATATTCCAGTCTCCATGCCCCAGGTACCCCACCTGGTTTCCCAGGGTGCTTCCCCACCAAGCCACCCTGCCCACGCGCCACCCTGCTCTCCATCTTATCAAAGCAGCAACACAGCAGGACCACAAGGCATCCATAGTGGACAATAAGCAAAGTTGGTGTACTGTTAGAAAACAATCAATGTATTCCACAACATAAAGGAAAAGAACCACACAATCTTATCAATCAATACAGAAAAGGCATTTAATAAAAACCACCATCCATTTCTGATAAAAATCTCAACAAAATTAGAAGGGAAATTTCTCAATATAATTAAAGACATATATGCAAAAAACCCAGCTAACATCATTCTCTGTAGAGAGATACTGAAGGATTTCGTTTACTTAACAGAAATCAGACAAGAATGTGCTCTACCATCACTCTTACTCAGTTCTACAAAGTCCCAGCGAGAGCAGTGAGACAAGAAAGCCTCGAAAATGGTGGAGAATAAGCAAACTATCCCTATTTGAAGATGCCAGGATTCTATACATAGAAATTCAGCAAAAAGGGAAAACGAAAACCTCACCAGACTATGAAAATAGCAGAGTACAAAACCAGCATACAAATATCAGCTGGACTCCTCTACAACAATGAGAATAATGCCAATTACAATAGGTATCACAAAGAACTTTTGCATTCCAGTCACGCATTATTATCAATGCATCTTGATTGCATGTTCAATCTATCTCCTACTGTAAAAGTTGGTAGAAATCATCTGTTTCTTCTTCTTTGGCTCTGGTTGTTGGTGCATATATCTGAATGATAGTGGTATTTACTGGGCTTCCTTGTAAGCGTATGGATATA